AGAGAAAAGTCCATTTCCAAGTGTGCTTCATTTAAAGCTCTGAGGGGGAGAAAACAGGAGACGTTGCCCCGGCGCTCCACAGCACACGGTGCAGCCGGGGGCTCCCACGGCAGGTCTTGGCATCGCGCTGGGGATGCTGTGCCGGCTGGGACCAGCTCCCAGACCAGCTCTGGCTGGACAGCTGGAATGCAGTTTGCTAGAGTAGTTTTCAGCCCTTCCCTCTCCTAAAAGCCAGCTGACTCCAGGAAATCTCACAGCAAAGTACCAACTCCTCTCTCCGGGTCAAGCTGCCAAGGAGGGCGCAGAGCAGGAGAAGGGATGTTTCCTTTGGGTTGGTTTTTGCCGTGCATTCTGAAAGGGTGTGGGAGGATATCATGAACAACATCATGATCTCCCAAAATGCATTTGGAAAAGGCACATATACAATAAAGCATATATCTAACTATACAATACCATATATATATATTTATATATTTATAAATATACTTTCTCAAGCTCTCCAGCTGCCCCAGACCATAGGCCATTCCTACCATCCATTTTTGTTTTTAAAAGCTTGTGAGCCAAGCTAAGACTTCTAGTGGCAAATTTCTAGTGGCAAAGCCAATTCCATCACACTTTTCCTGAAATCCCACTCTGACTTTAGGTGATTCTGGTATCAGTGCAGCTTCCTTTCTCCCTCCTCATTACATTATAATCACAGCAAGAGTTAAAGAAAGGAATTTATCCAGCAAAGGAACTGTATTATTGTAGCTCCTGTCCTTGGCTGAAATAAGCACCTTTGCCTCAATTATCTCCAAAGTTTCTTTCTGGAAGAAGGAGTGTCTGTTGTCTGGCTTCTTTCAAATCTGAGCAAGCGAGCTCAGGTCCTGGACAACAGCAATAATGTCCCATTAAAGGCCAGTTTTGAAGGGTTTGATTTAATTACTGACCTCCTGCCTGACAACACAAATTTAGGAATGCCCTTGTAAACAGAAGGAAATTTGGAAACTCTTACAATTGAGAATTTCTTCACCTTGTAGTAAACATACTTTAGGTCCACATGGATATTTTGTGAGCCGGGTCCTCGCATTGCAGAAACTCGCCCCATTAAAAACCAGGCCAATTAGCCAATTTAGATTCTTTCTCCCTAATACAGACTGATACAGGTTGATGCCTAGACACCTTCACATCACAGCATGGATGAAAGCACTTTTTAAGGAGATTAAAATTGTTTTAATCTCATCAGTTACTGAGCGAAGAGCTGGCTTTACTGAGAAATGCTATATATTTTGATGTGCACTCCTAACCGATTGCAAAGAGAGGTGGCTGTAAAATTCATTGGCCATAACCGCAGATAAATAGATAATGCCCTTTGCTCCAAGGATATGGATCACACCAGGAACAGAACAAGCAGTCACACTTCTACTTCAATTATTAGGCTTGTAATCCTCTAAACTGAGGCAGAACCTTGCCATTTTTGATGTAAAAGAAGCAGAAGGGTTTACTGGCAGGGATGTGCACAGAAATGACCTTTTTTAAAAATTATTTTTAATGAAAATGAGGAATGCTCACAGGAAGGCAAGTCTAGATTTGCAAATGCGTGTTTTTAACTGGAAACTTGATTCCAAGAATTTCAGAAGAGTCCGATAAAAAACCAGTCAGGTTCGATTTCCAGCACCAAATACTCAGAACAAATGGATGTGCAGGCCAAAGATTAGCTACTGAAATTCCGAGTACACTGTGAATGACTAACGAACTTGTCAAAAGTCAAGAGCTTTTCTTAGAAGTCTGCAGTGAGCAAGCAAGAGAAAAACCCAAAGAAATCTCTGCGACCCCATTTTGCACACTTCTGTGAAGGGACAAACTGTGTTACATAAAACTCTCCAATAATTTTCAGCAGGAACTAAATTCTTAAGTACATGTTAATCCAAAATTTTGTTCAAAATTTGAACTAGAATTCAAACTTTCTCCTTTCCCTAGCTCTAGGATGAAAATCTTTAATGAATATCCAGAAAAGGACACTGATAATAAAAATGAACATAAAATTCTCCAAAAAACGTAGGTTTTGGAAGATAACTCCCCAGTGCCTCCCCAGTTCACTATGCCCGTGACAGCAGGACATATAGATCTCACTTGCTACCCTTAGAACAAGAAGCTGGGCTTAACTGAACCAGCGAGCCTCCCCATCTGATCCCTTAAACATCTACAGAATACATCCTACAGGAGGTATCAATGAGTCATCAATGAACCAAAGTGCACACTAACTGCAGATACAATTACAGCCAACTTCTTTGTGGATACACAAGAGATTTTCTGCCTTTCCCGTATTCCGGTGCTTTACCAAACAAAGGCAGAAATTTTTAACACTTTTTCCCTAGCGCTAACTATTCCAAGAAACCATCGCCCATGTTTTTTCACTGATCACAGAGGGGAAAATGGAGTGTTGCCCCCAGAGAATGAAAGGAATTGCTGGCAACCCTTTTCTCTGGCTTGGGCATGTGTCTTTCTGTAGGTCCAGACAAGCCCAGCAACCTTGAGGCCCAGCACCTTCCTCTTTGCGCCTTGTTCTTAAAAGACCTTTCCTGTCTCAGCAAATCACAACCGCTTTTTTCTTTCTTTTCGGAATTTCCAGGCAAATCCTGATGCAAAACACGGCCAGCCACCTCCTAAGCCAACCTTCCTAGCTGCAGAGAATCAGCCATACAGAATAAAAGTGATGCCCTCCAGCATTTCTCTGCTTTTCTCCTGCACAAACTCCTTTCACTACACCAGGCACAAGACAATGAGAATGGTCTGGAGGATGGCAGTGGCTCATTTGCCTGAGTTTCCTCTACATTAGGATGAAGAAGGAAGGAGGGGGAGGAACCCAATGACACTAAGAACAATGTTGGGAATAGATCTTTAAATCTGTCTCTCCAAAGCCTGTACATTCCCAGCCTTGATAGCTCTCACATTACACAAGATGACATTTCTCTCCATATTCTAATTAATAGGCTACTGCAAGACTTTACCAGCTAATACTTAATAGCATTGCAGTGCTGGGAAGCAGTCATCAGGTAATCTGGCCATGATCTACTGTATCCTTTCTAAACACAGGTTCTAGCTGCCAAGAATGTCACCATAAAAAGATTTCAATCAATACCACTCAGCTCCTACTTTCGAATGCTCCAGGTCTAGGAAGAAAAGAATTAAAAAAACCTGGTACCCTCAAAACGAACAGCAAACTGGCATACACATGGAGTGCACAGATTGAAGGGAGCAGATGGAAATTCATTATGGCCTGATCTTGCTCTCTCTTTTATACTTTAGTAACTTTATACTTTGGAAAAGGTCTCCCCAGGCGCATGGAGACCGTGTGCACAGAGGGGGTTAAACCCATGCAGATCTTTCCATTCTCAAGCTGTGCTCTTGTTGCCAAACAACAACATTTCAATTGTGATTGGTACAAACAGTTGGGTTTCAATGGCAATCTGTCCTGTAGGTTTAAGCCCAGCTTTTACTGATGCAACTTGCTGGGTGGTTGCTGGCTTTGTTATTTACAGGGAGAGAAAGAAAGGAAACAAAACAGATCGGTGGACTTTTTTTTCTTGTCCAGTCTGTGGGTCAAGGACTTGCTCTGGAGTGTGTTTCTCCATTTGTTTTCCCCACAGTGAAATTAATATATTAGGAATAAAAATGAAATCTGCAAATCCAAATCAACGCACGGCACCTGCACCTCCACTTATCACTTTCTGAAAAAGTAGGGAAGGTCATATGCATCCTGTTGATGTGAAAGGCTTCTGTGCTCTCCAGCAAAATCTGCTGACACTTGCACCCCTAAATTAAAGCACAATTGATGACTTAGAAACAAAAGGAAATCACCGGTTCAGCAAATTAGCAAATAAGATGTCAAAAGGAGAAAAACCAGTCAAGGCTCAGATCCTGATGTAGCTGAAGGAGTTGGGGCAGTTCCATTGAATTCAATGGAGCTAAGAGGATTAATGCTGGCCAAGGATCTGGCTCCCATCACTTTCCCAGCTGCAAGTCTTAGTTTAGGCTGTTTCCAAGAGGTTAATACTGTGATAATAGAATGAGAAAGTATTTACATAATTATATATCTATATATACCTATATTTAAAGAACATGTTTTTACTAGTACTTTTGTCATTTTAAAATCCATCATTTTAAACCGAAATTATTTCAGAAGAGCAGCAGAACCTCTTGAGTAAACTACAGACTCTCACCCACTCCTAGGCCACTTACTGTCCTAAAAGCAAGTTTAAATGTTATTCCTAAATGCTCTCTCTTAAAAGTTAGGTCTCTTAGAAGCCAGTGAGACAACACATAGGCATGGAGTAACAGAATACAAACAATCCTAAAAAAGGTGCTTCATAAGTTAAGGAAAATAATAATACAAAGCCTCAGACTCACCACAGAAGGCCCTCAGACTTATGAAACTAAACTGCTGTAATGTGGTACAGTGTTAAGACATACATTTCCTTTTTTTTTTCTTTTTTTTATAATTTATTTACATTCTAGAGGGGCAATACACACTGAACCCAGGAAAACAGCTCTCCCTTGAAAGTAACTTTGATTCATGCTCCTAACTCCCTAACAGTTTTGCTTTAAAAATAATTGTTCATTCCGCAGAATAAAGTTCCCCCCCTCTTCTCCAGCCACCAAGACCCCGCACAGTAACTACACGTTAGAAAAACACTCTCCTCTGAAATGTTTCTACCTATTCCTCTGAAATTGTAAATGAGTGGCATCTTGTTGGGACTTGAAAGCACCTAGAAGGGTTGAGTGATATCCCAAAATAGGACATGGTGTACAACTGACTGAGACAGACACGGACTGCCTTCCAATTCCCACAGAAAGCGACACAGGTCACTCCCCAGAAAGTGATGGCAACAACAAACCCCTCTTTTATCCCTTCCCTTCCTTCTTTCTATTCTTAAGCTGGGCAGAGCAAATGAGGTTGGGTCCACAAAAAATAAGGTTAATAATAATAATTAAACAACAGCAACAACAACAACAGCAACAACAACAAAATAGGCGTTTCAATGTCCGAGGAAAAGTGGGATTGTAAGTGCAGTATTTCTTCATGTGCAGTTCTTCTACTTCATACGAGTCCCCTTTGGATGAGAAGGCCTAGCGGAATGTGTGCTCCCCTCGGACTATGTGCGACGAGAACTCATAGCGGTCCTGGCTCCGGTAGCCACAGATGTTGCACTCTAGAGGGTCCCGGTAGCCGTGGCAGCCCATGTGGATGGTGTACATGACATGGTCCAGGAAAAGGACCCGACAGTGCTCGCACTTGAAAGCCCTAATCTGCTCCCCTTCTCCGTTGATCACCTTGTAGATATCCTTTAAAGAGCCCTTAGAAGCTTTTGTGACATCCAAAGCCTTGGTGTCCTCCTTCATATAAGCCGGGCTTGGCTTTCTCTTGGGATTTAAGGCAGAGTTTCCTTGGTAGGACTGGCGGTCATCGTGGCTGCTCTCTGAGTCAGTAGAATCCAGGCAGCTATTGCTGGGGGAGCCCTCTCTATCCTGGGTTCGACTCTTTGGTCTGATGAGGGAGATCGGGCCATCCATGTTGTTGTCGTGACTGTCGGCTGTTTCCCTGCTGATGGGCCTTTCTATCCTGTTGGGATGATAGACCTGAGCGTAAGCTGAGCTGATGACCGGCGCCACCTCTGCAATTGTGCTTGGTGTGTGCTGCATCAGGGGGTGAAGTGCCTCAGCTCCAAGGTAGGTGATTGCATTGTTGATGGCTTGGTCCATCATGTGAGACTGCATCAGCTCAGCCTCCTTCTCGTAGGTTAGGTTCATATCAAAGGGGATGTCTGGATAGCCAAATCTCATGAGCTTTTCACCTACGAGACAAGAGAAATGCATGAGGAAAATCAATGTAATCCCTCCAACATGTCACTTAAAAGGGGTAGAGAGGGACGGAAAACCCCTGACCTGGGGTGAAATTATTCCAGAGTCTAAACTTAATCTTCTGCTTGTTTACTAACCTCCTACAAAGCTCCTGTCCTCGGATGGGTAAAACAGCAACCTCACCAACAGCTTTTTTTTTGTTTTATTCCAGGTGATGCATGCAGCTGCAGTGACTTCCAGAGCAATTCCAAACCTTTCACTGTGCCTGACTGCGCTCGTGCTTTAAGTTGGGAAACACAAGTTAACTGGTAGATAATGGGACTGAAATACTGAGGTCAATAAGGTCTGACAGTTGATGCCATTAGACATACTTTCCCCAAAATTCAAGGAAGCAGTACCACACATCTCCTACAGTCCAAGGCGCATCATATCTACCTTACAACAGGGCTGCCTAGTGAGAAACCAAAACAACAGGTACAGGGGGCTGTTATGGTGCTGCCTTCAGAGCCACAATATGTAAATCCTTTAGCCAGTGGAAAAAAATGTAAAATGACTGCAGGTAGTCAAGAACGGAGCAAGTTACAGGAGCACTGGAGGCTGATCTTTCTAGTTTCCCCCCCTTCAAATAAAAGATTCTATCCTTTTTGGACTGAGCAAAACACACACACACACACACACACACACACAGACTTCCCTTCCCAGTGTCTATTTAGGCAAGAAAACAAATAGAGAAACCACATGTACAGCTTTTGGTAAAAGGCAAAAGCACTGTTCATTGACACAGGCTAAATAAGTACATAACGATGCTGAAGCTGGCTGATTCTTCACTGTGTGAATCCAAATTCACATCCTTGTAACCTTTTTACATCAATGGCATTACAAATGTGTGAAACCAGAACCACGTGCTGGTACATTGGGGCAGTCACAGGGCAGCATGTTACATCTCACAGCTCTCCTTGTAAGAAGCTCTCCACTACTTACATCAGGGCTCAGCACAACTGCTTTTCCAGTGATGGCTTTGGAGTGGCTGTACAAGGAAAGTTTCATGTAATAACTTCTTTTTAAATAGAAAAGGTTATATGTATGTGATACAAGATGTACGTGCTCATGGGTGTTCACACATACAAATATTAGCTGGTTGTTCACAGTTAACTTTTAAAGGCGATTTTATGAAGTCTGATAAATTTTGGTTGGTTTCTATTGTCTTTGCTACTTCATTGCCTCGGTACATAAAACCAGATTTTTTTTCAATAGTGTAAGTTAATAAATTCAAGGAGTTGCTACTTACAACTGGTCTGGCTATCCAAGAATTAAATTACTCAAGAATATTCTATCACCTTTTGCCAAAATTGCTTGGAACGCAACGTGTATAAAACACCATAAGAAACAGAACTGTAATCCAAAATCTCTTCCAAACTGCATTAGTACATTTCGACATAGCTATCACTCCACATTTCATTTTTGACTGTAGTAATTCAGTCCACTCAGTGTGACTTATTCTAAAGTGATGCATATAGAACAGCCATGTAATCCTTAGAGATGATGCATCACTTCTGCTTGGGAACTTAGCCCTGATTAGCAAGGTAATTAAATATAAGTCTAAAGTGAAGCACATTAATATTCTTACTCTCTTCAGCAGTACTGTTCACATGCTTTCAAGTGGACCAACCGTTCCAACTGTGTACCTCACAACATTTCCCTGCTACAACGATGGTCTAGGTAATCTAACGTGGATGATTCTTGCCATCACACCTCTTTTCATGTTTCTGCTGTGCTCTGGCAGTCTGTGATGGCTGCCCTGCTGCAGATGGGATGGGCAGCTCTGAAACAGGGCAAGGCTCCAGCCTCCCAGGAAACAGTGCAGCTCCTTCCCAAGTGGGGCCAAAGTGGGACTGGAGGACAGCTCCAGGAGGCATTTGGTGTCTTTGTCACAGTGGAAGAAAGCAATGAAAATGGAAATGGTCCCTGTCACCTGCTGTGGTCATTCCCGTGCTTGAATAAAGAAATGGATCTGCTGAGGGTCTGATTCAGCCAAGAAAGACACTGTCAGTTCTTTGTAGGCTGTAGAGATCAAGAAACATTATCTATCCTTTATGGACTACTTGGATAAACGATGCAAACCTTATTTTGATTCCTTTTATCATCCATGTTTAGTTACTCCAGCACAGACAGCAGAGAAAGCTGTAAATTGCCAGTGACCTGAATTATTTATTCCTTTAATTATGATCCAGTTCCAAAGATCTCAGAGCCTTAGAAATGGAGCATGACATAAAAAAGTAAAATAAATGACAACATTGGAAGGAACCAACAAATATGAGCTCAGAAGCTGGACAAACAGTCCAACAAACCACTACAGTGTGGTTTCCAAATTAAATTCCTCTTTAGCCAAATCTACACTTAAAAATAACTAATCGGACTAATTATTCTGAATTTTCATGTAAAACTATGTTCAAATTCTATTTATTCTTGCCCTACATTAGTGAAGTAGATGAAGAAACAGTCTCTCATGTCAGTCTCTCATATGACATTCAAATAACCCTCAAAGCAGGTATTTGAAGCCAGACAAAAGCACACAGACATAGCTGTCCTGTGATACCTGCAGTCCATCTCATCAAGTAGCTAAAGCTGCTGCAGCACTGGACACTTGGGAGAAAGCTGCAAAAAATCCTGGAGAAAGCCATTACAGAATTAACCCCTGGCTAAATTTCTCCCTGACTCCCATTAAGTGGAAGCTGACTGTAATTTTGATGTTGGTTGATCTTCATCTGTTCTGAGATAACTGTGTATTTTTAATTTTTACTCTAACAACCATAGTCTTATTGTAAGCCACATAAATGTCTTGTTTTGCATCCTGCCAGTTCTTAACCTCAGTGACACTCTGTGAGAGCAAGCACCACATTCAAACTGAAAATACATGAATCTGCTCCACACGATCAGCCTGAAGATGTCTGCTTTTAATTTAACTGGTGTCTGCCTCTCCCTCATTGAACGAGAGGCAAAAAGAAGTACTCAGACTCCTGCACTTCATAAGTTATACTTTCTGCCTCCACGATTTCAACAGGTTTGGTAAGACTACTACCTCAACAGCAGATACATAACCACATCTCTCACACAGAAATTAATCCTATTTGCTGTATGCTGTTTCCTTTCCTCCTCAAAATTCAGCCAGAGTAGAGACTGTGGTCCATAACCACGGTCCCTTGGAGATTGCTGATCAGAAAGAGCAGTAAAGCATTGATAGATGTAGCATGCAAAGATTTTAGCTTATGCTTACATGACCTTCTCATAAACACCATTAAGTTGTTTTGGACAAGTGCCATACTTGCAGTATGCACAGGAAAATTTCCTGCAAGCAAGAGAACCATTAACAAGTTCTTCCTGATGGAGTTGAACAATATTTCATTGGGGAGAAAAAGGGAAGAAAAGTGAGGTCATGGTGGAAAAAAAAAAGGCAGCAAAGTGAAGACTGCTGTTATTCAACTCCAACACTGTGATATCATTAAAGATCAGAAAAGGCAGAAAAATATGATCTAGTAAGTATGACAGAGGACACTTTTTCTCCTACAGCTAGATCTGGATAAAAAATGAAATCTGGAATTCCTAGTCCCAGAAAAATGGAATACCAAAATAATCTGTTAGACCTATAGACAAAACATGTTTATCTAACAAGATAGTATAACCTGCTGAAGAGAATAATAATGTGCATCTCTCAGGCAAGGATTTCCCATCAGTAAATTTACCTCTGAAGACAACAACAACAGATGGTCAATGGCACATGAGTGGACAAGTAAAATAACTTTTCTGGTCTGAAAAAAAACTACCATCTACAGCTTCCAAAAACTGATTCAATTTATACCATCCAAACAGTGGCTTGCCTCAGTTGTGAGGTATCCTGGTCATGAGCAAGCTGCACTGCTTATGGGAGCAGTGTATGCTGGGTATGCCAGGATTTTAGGGAGGGCAGTAAGATCTCTAGCCCTCCTGGATCCGGTCTCCAGCCCTGCACAGATAACCTCTGTGAGGCACTGCAAACACAGCTCTGTTCTGTGGACAAGCTGGGAGAAAAAAGAGTGAGGTGTGAACTGCCCTTCTTCCTTTTGAGGCTGTAAGGTCTCCGAGGTTCAGAAGCACCAGCTGAAGTGTCAGTGTGTTTAACTCCTGCCCCTGGTGATCCCAGCCCGCAGGAACCCATAGAGCTTGCTGAGACACCACCAGGGAAACCTGCTGTGGTGGGGCCAAGTTTACCAGCTCATAAAGCTGTATGTGGCTTGTCAGTAGAGCAGTGCTCCCATTTCCACCCTCTTCAACCCCAGCTGTTGTCAAAGCAGTAAATTAAATGAGAGTATAAATCCTGCAGTTCTTATCAGCTATACAGCACTTCATTTCAGACCACTTTTAAAGACAACAGTCCAAGAAATAAGCTTTCCTCTCAGAAGAACTAACAACATAGGAAACACTGATGTCTCCCAGCATTCCTCATGTGGGTTGGATCATTCCTGACCTAACCTCAGCTTAGCACTGATATTTGGGCATGGTCAGCTGACCGAGAGCAGCCAGGTCAGTGTGTCAGCCCTGCAGGTGAGCTGCTGCATGCTGTTGGCCCCCTACTATTCCAAACCCTGTAGGTTAGTTACAACCAGTGGTGATTTAACAAATCCATCTGAATCTGCATTTAGCTGAGGGGCAAAAACTTCTCTAAATGGCTCTGTTAATTGCTTACATTCTCTGATCTTCTCTGTAAGTGCCTTCAGAATGAGGATGTGACACCCTGATGTTCTGTGTGACTGTCCTTCCAGGGAGTGAGCGTGGAAAACGCCTATTACATGACTTCAGAGTCTGGCAGCATACACTTACCCCAAATAATTCTCTGTTCCAGCTTCCCTCCTAAGAAGTTTAGCACTGCTTCAGTAGCAGTAAAAAGAAGCTTTAAGTTACAGCTCAAACCAAGTAAAATTCTCCACGCTGTCTCCTGTTACAAGCTGAGCAATTTTAATATGTCAAGACACAAAGCAAAATATGAATTCTGGGCCTATGATTCTAAATCTGATAACCAAAAGCCATCCAATGCTGTTTCATATTCATGCATTAGTAAGTTTATTGTGTGCAGAGTGCTGCACTTGGAGTAAGCACTTCTTCCAACACAAGGGATGCAATTTACTTCCTCATGCCAGTATTATCAGACCAGTTGTTGCCAACTCTTAGGAATTTAATACATCTTGAGATTCTTGTTTGTTTTTTTAACACATATAGAGACAGATAATTATATGACAGTCTTAGCTTGCTGGGGTTTTTTGCTGGAGAAAGGAGAGGGAAGATGACAAGTTTAAATCTCAAAAGGGTCAGAGAAAAGTTTTTTAAAAAAAACAAAACAGCCTAAGATAAAAGCTCAAGGTCTTCTACAGCATTTGCATGATACCAGGGGCCTAATTTTTGAATTTTCTGGGTTGGTAAAATTACTTCAATGATTTTCAGGATTTCTTGCTGTCATTTAACCCTCTCCATTGTTATCTCACAACCAAGTTCCAAGAGCGTTACTACTTTCCCCTTGTTCTTTTGGCTATTACAAATAACAAGTTGCCTACACCTCCACACTAAAAATAATAAAAGGCATATTTCCAGCTTACCCACAAACTTCTGTGGGGTGGAGCTTTTACGCTTTCCCATGTTGCTTGTCAGCTTCTCTATAACAGCAGGTCTCTCAAAAGGCACCACAGAAATATTGTTGTCCATCACAGGCTCTTGTTCCTTACAATCTTCCATAGGAGGTACTACATAAAACCAAAAAATCATATCAGACAGGTCTGGTCCACACTTCACAGACAACACAAATCATTTGAGCTCTGCTGACTGTGCAACAAGTGCAACAACATAAAGCAAGGTGCAAGAACACACTGGGCATCAAGACAGCAATCACTTGTAAGCAGAACCACATTGACAAAACACCTCTCATTGGGACCATCTTATTTAGCAGAAGCCCAACTTTATTAAAAGACTTGTTTTGTTATGGACACTCAAGATCCCCAGAGAGGAGGGGACACTTCTGAAAACTCACTCTGTAGATGACATTTTGTGTTATTTCCCCTTCCATATGGTCACCTGTCGCCAATGTAAATGTTTAGTTATCATTCTTTGTGTATTCCATTAACTTCACACTTATCATACAGAATACCTACTCTTATTATTACTTTTTTGCACTAATCTCAATGATTAAAAATCACACAAGGCATCAACAAGCTGTGTTTCCTGGGCCTGTCTGTGTGTTCCCTAAGACAACTCCTCTCAAATGAAGGATCAGTTTGCTAAAGCATGTTTCCTCTTTCTACACGTGAGAATGTAAAATCAACACACACTGTACTGGAATTACGGGATTAACATCACATGGAAAGCCCCTTCAAAATCAGATGTAGAAACTATCAATTTTTGATTAATATTTTATCCCCTCAAACACAGGTCTAGCAACCTGTGAATGGAGGTTTTCTGCATCTGTCTTACCACTTTTCTGGAATCTGCAGGGATCATTCCTGTGCTAACCACAGCGAGGGAATGCTCACACATTGTCTTTGAGACAACAACAAGAAATCAATGACCCCTTCTGACTTCACTCATTTTCCTCTTCCTCACTTGTTGGGTTAGGGAATAAGGTGTTGGAGCAAAACTATAGGAATTGCACAGGCTTCTGACCAGGGTAGTGACTCATACAGGGTTTTATGCCACTGGGGTCAGAGCTATTCCCCAAGTGCCGACAAAGTGCTCTGTTTTTGTTGAACATCCTCTTATAAACACCAAGAAGGGTCAGTGGTACCAGACTGGGGATCAGGCCCAGAGAGTCATAGAATCATAGAATCAGCTGGGTTGGAAGGGACCTCCAAGATCATCAAGTCCAACCCTTGATCCGCTACCACTGCGGTTACTGAGCGCCAAGACATTTGCAATATATACCAAGTGTGATTCCACGTATAGCTCTGCTCTGCTGCTGTGAATGGGATACCTGGCCTAATTGTCCTGCAGTCATCTTCAGAAAGTGGCAAGAGAAACCTGACAAGTATCAGCCGCTATTCCATGTGCTAATGGCTTGGTTGAGACACAACAAAATTATTTGAGGTGAAGAATGTATGGCAGAGAAATAGAAACTGCGATGATACGGCACAGAGTTCCTACAGTTTGCAAACTGAGAGCACCCCATTGCATTCCCTGTATTAGATCAACCTTCCAGTGAAGTCATGGGTACTGCAGAGGTAGTAGAGAAGGACTCACACCCCTGTGTTCTGCCAGACCTCCTCCTGTCTCTCACCATAGCAGCCTTTTGTGTCACAGGCACCTTCTCCCAGAGACAGCGCCATAAATGAACACCACCAGCCTACTTCCCTCCCATGTAACCGTACCACCCTTCAGGATCCTGACATGGAACAATCACTCCCCTGTTCTTAAACACTCAGCTGTTTGCTAGCACATAATATACGAAAAATGGGGTGTTAAAAGCCTTGTCTCTGCCTGCTTTCTAGTAAGGAAGAGCAAATACCAGGCAATTACAAAACATAATATCTGCTCAGGTGAACTTCTCAATTCAGACATTTGTAATAAGAAAACATGGCAATTTATTCATTTAATTCCATTTGTGCCTCTGCTGCTATGGAAAGCTGAGTACTTTGAGGCTTGGAATCTACCATATGCTATAAAATGATTTACTCTGCTGCTTTTTTACTCGTACAGGATGCTCCTCCTGAGAAACACAATGGTTTCTCATTTACAAGGCAGTCCTGCTGGCATCCCTGAAAGGGAGGAAAAAACCCCATAAATATGAAATGAATCTAATGTTGCAACAAAATGGGATGCAGTGTTCAAGTGACCTAATTAATACCCAATGCAGACTGGGAGGTTTGGAATACTTTAATAGCTAAGGGTAAAGTTTTAAGGTTAATTAAATACCGTGCTTGGTCAGGAGCTACCTGCACTACTATCTGTATTTACGAAGGAGATTTGGGAAGAAAGGGAAGATTATGTGTGCTGATTTTCACTGGGAACTGGATCTGACTGTCCTTTGGCTTACCCAAACTCAGTGTATGCATGCACACGCACGCATGAAACCCTGGCTGCTCACTCACTGCCATGGACCAGGTTCACCTGAGTGACACTTCAAAGATTTCCAGCCCTTGGAAAGGGACAGGACACACGAGGCTGGTGGTGTGGTAGGGAGGTGCTCTAAATCCCTCCTAGGAACACAAGCTCAAAGCATGCTGGCTTTGCAGGAATGCACTTATCCACAAAACCACTCGAAACCTCCTGACTAGTTTCACTGCCACCTGAATAAGCCCCAAATGTAACGACATCTGTAGGGTCTCATAACAATTAAGTAATAATTAAATAATTCTACTGCTGGGCATATGTGTGTAAAATTTCCTGCACAGAATTTGAAACCTTTCTTCCATGAAAAATGAATAGTGCTAAAAAAGACATCTGCTCTTCTCTAAGTTAGGCAAAAATCCTACTCGGACTCCTTTTAAAAGTAAAATCATCATGAGTAAAAGCATTTTCTTTTCTACCTTTCATGCTGCAGGCACTTTTTCCCACCTCAGAACTCAAGTCTCTAATCCAGGGCACGGCTCTTTTGCAACAGAATCAATGAATCACACCAATATTTGTGTTACGATGGGAATAAGTTAGCAGAACGTGTTTTGTTATGCAGATTTCCTGGGAGAAGGGAGAGAGGGAAATGGTCTAGTTTCTGAAACCATTTAAATGACAGGCAAAACTGGACCAAACAGGTGAGATGTCACATTTTAGAAACCCAAAGCTTTAAGCTAAGGAGCACATTGTCAAATCTAGGTACATTAATTTTCATTTCAATTTTAGAAGGTATACAAATAAAGGAAAAATAGCTCAGCTTGCGTCACTTTTGTTTTGTTTTGAAGGAAAAAACAGAATAAAAAAGGGGAAAACCAAACCAATCAAACACAACCACCAGTTCTCACCAATCAGCTGCTCTGTGGTAGAAGCTCATGTGTACACATTTACTCAGCAGTAAATGCAATTCCTTTTTTGTTGTAGTTCATCGTACGTCATAGTGGGAGCAACCAAAGAACAGCTGGCAGGTCATAACTAGCTTAGAGCAACTCATTTTACACTGAGAATTTACAGTCTCAGCTCAGGAAGACTTTTTTTATTCTACAAATCAAGCTTCACGAAAAGCCCATGAAACATACTCCATGAGTATGTTTTTGTTCAGGGATGCTCTTAATCAGCTATCAGGGTGTGCTTCTGGATTACCCATGAAAACATTCACTATCCCTAACACTGTAAATATTCTCAATAGCAGTTAACATGAAATGTTTCTAAGCCCAAACTCTCAATTCACAAACCTCTACAGTCTTCAGAACAAAGTCTTTCTTTTGTTGATGATACTGGTCTTTCAATCATACAGCTCAAAGTGACTATCTTTGAGTTTTTCCTTCTTAATTTGTAAAAAACCACATGAACTTTTAAAAAAGTTTATGTCATTCCAGTGAGGAAAGAACAAGGGAGGGGAGGGGGGAAAGAAGTAAAAAAATTACCCAGTGTGTGTTTTGCTGATAAATACTTTTGTGTGCAAACACCAGACACTGGGCTAAGTCTCAGCTGGTATAAATTAGTATTACTCCATCAACCTCAATTTCCTTTCTGAAGCTCACAATATTGCTATTTAAAAGAAGTGTGTGTGTGCAGAGAAATGACAGGAAATATTCCCATGGACCCTGGTGTGAAGTCTCCTGTGGGACCAGCATTTTAACGATGTTTTAAGCAACCATGTAAGAGGGAAAGACACAAGGCCATTGTGTGTTTTCTGTGGAGCTGGCCTCTGAGCCTCGCACAGCCCAGGGCTGGGCTTCTTTCTCTTTCTCCCGAAAAGAGCATCCTTCTCCACCCCACCAGAAGAATTTCCCTGGACTTTTTGCTCTGTGGAGGTGGAGAAGAACGCATAACTGGGTGTAAACCATCGCTAGCCTTCAACATTTCTCCCTCTTCGTTCCTGCAAAGGTCATGTTCTTGGCATTCAGAGACTGTCCCTTTTGTCACCCCCAGTACGCCGCTAGCCAGGAGACCGCAGACTAATTTCTCCCTCCAGGGCCAGCACTGCTCGGCTGAAAATTGCCAACAACCAAGTCATGGGAGCTCTCTTGCAGCATCTGTCCTGCTGAGCAGGGAACAGGACCACGAGGAGGGGCAGCTCAGCAAGCAACTGGCACCCCACAAGAGGATGGAGTGAGACGCAGAGACTTGCACATTCCTACCCACACAACAAAACTAGCCCTTCTGCCCCTCCTCTTGCTTCCCCTTGTGCCTTTAGTCAGGTGATATAGCCATCTGCAAGACAGAGATAATTGAAATTAAAGGACTGATCAGGCCACGGTGAAAGCACCCATGTCTGTAACATGCCTACAAACTAAGCATCTTGAGCACAATGCTTGAAAAAAATCCAAACCAAGTATTTGGAAAGAGAGTCCGGAAAACTCAGCCCCAATGGGATACAAAATAAACCAGTGATCAAAATCTCCAAAGCATACTCTCAGTCATCCTCAAGAATATCATTTCAATGTGTGACATGGGAGAGAAGGAAATTAATACATTTTTTCAGAGTCATTCTAAGACTCAGCTTTAAGCTGAGTAATCATTTCTGTACTCTTCTCTGGTGCCTTTACAGTCCCAGGGGAAAGGACTTTGCTGCAGAGCTCTACAGGTTGGTGCTTGTGGACTCTCATGCTGAGCTTCATGGGTGGGAGCAATGCTGGGATGAGAAGTGAGATTTACTACTGGTCCCAGTTGAATATGGAGCTCCCTGTCGCTGCTTGTCCTCACTGTGCCCTCGCTGAACAGCGAAATGAAGACAGCGGATCAAACATCCCCTTAAACATTCACCAGGGGAGGCACAGACATATTTGCCCGGAGGAGAAAGAGGCACTAGTTGAATTCAAAGTGCTGTTTTAAGCTAATTTTGTTGAGAAAAGTGAGGTGGTTGTGTGAACATTTCTATTTTAAGCCCAAGCAAAGTCAGTCAGGTTGTAAAGAAAAGAACTGTCCCGCATGGGGTTTGCACTGGTTTAACTTCAGTTGGTAGAAAAATCAGTGCAAGGTCAGCCACTGCAGCTTCTCTGGGGAGACAAGGTTAAAGACTTGCCCCTCTTGTCATGGCATTAGGCAGATCAGAAAAAGCTCTGGATTTTCTCAGAAATCTATCAACAAGAGTAAACCTAATTTTAACAAATAATTGAATAATAAACCCAGATGCTGAGTGGAATTTGGGAAGCTCCTCCACAACGTGGTCTCAAACCTCCTGGCTGTCATAGGTTATTCCCTACTGTTATTCCCTAAGGAAAGGCTGCCTGAAGTCATCACCTCCCTGGTTAACTAGACAGGTACACCCTTGTAGCATGAAGAGTGTGTATTTTGTTGGAATGAACTCAGTGGTTCAACTCCTCCTAAGTGCTCCAAGAGACCAAGCCCACAACAGGTACCTTCAAACAGCAAAGCCGTGAAATCAGCCTGCCTACTGGCCAGCATAAAGCCACCTCAGGCAGATAATCACTGACTTCAACATCTTTGAAGTCACCCATGACATTTTAAATGTTGATTTTAGTCTCCAGGGTGTCTATGAAGAGAGCAATTACTTAATAGAGTTGTATGAATATTTTGGCAATGACTACTAAATATATTTAAAATATATTATAGGAATAAATTGTTCATGGAAAAGTACTATTTAAAATATTTTGGAGATTTTTGTCGCCAAAATATAGCCTGTATTAGCAATGCTGAATAGATTTTATTTCAGCTTGGATTTTCAGGTTTTTAGAAAAGATCTTTCAGAACTTTTACAGAATTACTTTCCATATGAAGCCATATGACTCCACTTAACAATGAAAAGCAAAATGGAAAAAAGTGGAAGTGGTATTTTGCCTTTTCATTCACCCACAATCTAACTGGTTTGGGTATTCTTAGGTATATGATAATTTCAATCAAAATGGAAACTGTACAATTTTAATATTTTCTGAATAGTATGAAATTTTAAACACTTCAAGTACCAAACATCTAAAGACAACTTTTAAAAGTAAAGAGATTATCAGTTTCAGAAGAGTTTATGAAACACTAATTTTGAATTAAATTGTAACCATTTTTAGACAGCTACCATTTAGCATTTAGTGCTACAGATTAAGCCTTCAACCCTGCAATCTGAGGCATTATGCTCATTATCCATACTAATAGCTCCAGAAATTTCTGAAAACAAATTCACAGAGTTTGACATTTCTTGCTTTCAACAATCTTTTGGCAATCTTCAGTCCTTATGTATATTAACACATGCAGTGTTAGTTAACATATTAATACTAGCACATGTAAATGCATACAAACATTTTTTGGTTATAATTACTTTCAACAACTCTATCAAATTCCATTCTGCTCTAGCGATTTTTACATCTATCCCTCCCTTCTCTGGAGGGATAAGATAATATTACAGAAAGTAGAAATAATGACTTTGAATACCTTCACCATCCTTATAATTATCACTCACTATCAGAAAGGAGTGGGAAGGGAATCACACATTTTACACATGGCCCCCAACATAAGAAGGATGTGCACCTGTTGGACTGAGTCATGAAGATGCACTGAGGGCTTGAGCACCTCTGATATAGAGACAGGCTGAGAGGGTTGGGCTTGCTCAGCCTGCAGAAGAGAAGGCCCCAGGAGGACTTCCAGTGTCTAAAGGGGCTGCAAGAGAGCTGGAGAAGGACTTGGGACAGGGGCAGGGAGACACAAGACGAGAGGGAATGGCTTTACACTGACAGAGGGCAGGGTTAGATGGGATATTGGGATGAAATTCTTCCCTATGAGGGCGGTGAGGCCCTGGCACAGGTTGCTCAGAGAACCTGTGGCTGCCCCACCCCTGGAAGTGTTCAAGGTCAGGTTGGATGGGGCCTGGAGCAGCCTGGTCTAGTGGAAGGTGTCCCTGGCCATGGCAGGGGTTCGTAGCTATATGATCTCTAAGGTCTCCTTCATCCCAAACTATTCTATGATTCTATGACATGACTTTTAGGGTAATTTTGCTCAGGTGACTTTGCTTCATTTTCGTCTCTGTATATTTTTACATACTAAAAAGCTAAATACTGACAACACAAAATCAGCAAAAATGTTGCTGTTAAACTGGACAGAGTGAGGATTTTAGCCCATCTTTTCTCCTTCTGCCTATCTGAATATAAACAATCTCTAAATTGGAAACGATACAAAGATGAAAGGAAGGAAGAAAAACAAGACGGAAAAAAACCCACAAGAGATGCTCCAAGTCCAAGTGCCCTCAGCAGACGGTTTGCACCCACCATGGTGACTCATGACCTGCCCAGCAGCCTCCATACTGACATTCTGCAGATAGTTGTGGCAGCGTTCCTTGTGCTCCTCCAGCGAACTGCGCTGCTTGTAGCTCCGGCCACAGTAGTTGCACTTGTGAGGCTTCCCCACTGCGGAAAGAATGAGAGCATGGGGTCAAATCCACTGCAACCCGCTTCTGCAATCAGAAAAACTCTCACCTTTGCCACAAACAACTCTCTTGTGGTGGAAAGACACCTAAGAAAGGTTACTCGAGTCCCAGGCCTTTTCCCCAGCCCTGTTTTCCCGCCGCACACACCTCCTCCCACCCGCCGGGTACTTTGCCCCATCCGTTTTTCACACTGAGGCGCTGTATCAGCAGAAGGAAAAGGAGGCGGACTTGGTTGCAAAGCAAATAAACAGATGCTGAGAGGGGAAAAAATACCAGCCAGCTGAATCACACCCCAGCACTGCCTGCGTGTCACCAAGTCTCGTGGGAAAGAAACTTCTGACATATTTTGCCCATGGCATGAATAAAAACGAGCTGCCCCAGTGGCCTAATTCTTCTCCCAATCATGGGGAAACCCATTACATGGCCCAGAGGAGTTCTTTCACTGAGAAAACTTTGCCAAAACTACTAAGGGAAGGTTAGAAAATAAACAGAAAGTGACTTTGGTAACTGCGCTGTTACATGTCACAACTGAGCAACCACCAGTAATTCAGAGACCAGATAATATTGAATATATATAATATAAATCTATATACATCTAAACATATATACATAAAAATATAAAAGCCACGTACAATTAAAATCAAGCCAGATGAATGCAAGACATAACTCCAGTTTTAAATATTTTTTTTGTTTTGCTCAGCAGCATTATGCACAAATGGCAAATGCTTCTTAATACATGCAAAACCTGGCACCAAATTCTCATAAATTATATCCTTTTCATAGCATGTCATTAAGAAACCACAAGAATGGCCTAGCCCAAGGCCAGAAAGCTAGCCAGAAGGTATTTTGCCAAGTGGTGTTAATAAAGGCTTTTAATATAATTTAAACTTGTAGAACATGAACATTTATCCTTTAATAACTAAAGAGCTATTAAGTTAGTGCTACAAGTCTAGTAAAACACCATCGGCTGTGAATTTCAGAGCTGGCTGAGGGATGGGGAAGGTCAAACTTCTCCCAGAGTTTTGAAAATCTTCGGTAAGAATTTTAGTTTCTGGCCAAAGAAATTGAGAACATCCTCTGTTGGATAATATTCATGTTTCTATTGGGTTTGTCCCAATACTGAAAGCTTTTCACAGTCATTTACTTAATGAAATCTGAGCTGTACTAATTGCAGCCAAACTGCACCGTCACCCCTGGGAAGGGAAAATGCAGGGGAAGCTGTGGGGAGGACAGCTGCAGTCAAGAAGAAGCTGGGTAGAGGGTTCCTGGTGCTGAGGCTGGAGCCCCAAACACGGAAAACCTGGAGTTAGGGCAATTCTCTGGGCCCTCTGCAGGACCAGCACATGCCACATCACCCCGTGACGGAAGATGAAAAAGCCTGAGCCTGAGGAACCAGAGCTGGTCCAACAGTTTCACATGGTTTTATCTCAGAAAAAAAGGGATTTGATGAAATGAACATGCTGGCAGAAAGCTTCAGTTTTTCCCAAGGAGTTTGTGTGTGCAGTTCAGTGACACAACCAAGTCTTCCACCAGGGAAAAAAAAAAAGCTGTTTTTAATAAGTATCAAAACTGTGGATTTTTTTATTTGGAGATAAGGCTTATCCTCAAGAAAGTGTGTCAGACTAAAGAGCCGTTGTGGCCTTTATTTTACTTTGCTCACTTGCTTACACTGTTGCCATAACTGATGCTGGTAATGGAAACCTCAGTGGAGGCCCCAGCGTGAGGCTCATTATCATTCCCAGAATAAATGCCCTTGATGTGAATGATCTGGATCAAGCCCTAGCTCTTAAACATAAACCAGCCAGCTCATTCTGGAGGCACCTTTAGGAAAACTCACTGGAGGCTCCCTAGGATGGAAAGACTTTTCTAATCACCATTACAACACTTCATCATGCATCTAGATGGCATCAATGTCTGTCAGTCTGATGCTCTCATTAGAAGCTAATATGGTGTCCAATAAAAAAAAAAATCCAGTGGAATGGAAGGGATTATGTTAACTGAGCTGAACCAGTTTGGCCACACCAGGTTATCAAGCAATTTAGATAAACTGTAAGACACAAAGGAAAGGGATGATTGCTTGCAGCTATTCAAGGCAGACATAATTAATTAAATTATTATCATTTAACACAGAAATATTCTGCTACAAGCTCACATTACAGAAAAATAATTGATTCAACAATCAAAAAAGAGGTTCTATTAGACCTCTTCAAATGGTTGCTCCCTGCATTGCAACCATTTCAGTAACTGCTCACACACAACATGGCAGAGCTTTTCCAGTAATATCTAGGATGGTCATCTACCTAAATTCCATCAAATTTCAAGGTTAATAGAGATGATAAAAGCTAATGATAAAGGCATGATTTTTACAGGCAATATGGGATTTGAGGAACATAATTCCCCAAGGAAAGAAATAGTCCCAGCACACACGCTCCCTCCTCTGGGAGAAGATAAGAGAATAAACAACGTGGCAAATGTTAGTCATGTTGCCTAATACACAATTGCAAAGAATGAAGTTTGTGAGCATGAGTTGAGTAGGATCGAGTACAACTCCCTCGGGTTCGTTTCCAAATTCTGTCCCCCCTGGCTCTAGAGATGCAATCCCATCACAGCCCCACACGTGTAAAATCTGATTTACGCTATAAAATTACAGAGTGACTGTGACTTGGGTTGTGGAGCAATTGATCAGGTCAGACCACAACGGAATCAGGTCTGATGGCAGGAGTTTGTGTCACCAGCAAATCTCACAGCCTCTTTGGTCAGAGGTGCAGCAAGTCGAGGCAGCAATTACAGTCTAGACTTTAGAAATCGTGTCATTGTGACAAATGTCAAGCCACCGAAATAGCTGCAAATATCCCCTTGTATTCTCAAAGTAGTCAATGACAATACATATATATATATATATTTGTGGAAATGAATGTTGCCAGTGGGTGTACATTTCTATGTATTTCATATTACCCGACAGAAAGCTGTAACAGTGTATTAGAGAATTCAATTCCGGTGACGATCTCAACCGCGTACTTTGTCCCACAGAACAGCTGACATGAAAACATATGAGTGCCAAAGGAGATTTCAGCCTTGTCAAATACCTTAGGGTAGATCACTATTCAAAATTTGCCCCCAAAACATGTGGCTCGCACCACTGGGCACGAGCAGTCTTTGTCTATAGGCCATTGACTTGAAGGTAAAGAGTCCAACAGCACTACACCTACCAAACCCCCCTGCGAGCAGGTCTTTCCACTGTGGAGCCATTTCCACTGTGAAATCACTCAAAGTTTGGCTCAGTTCAGTTCACACAAAGCTGCCTTCTCCGACATCCCCACTGAAGACCACGGTACACGGACACCGCATTGGGCATTGTACGCACCCACCGCTGACAGTGGTAGCAGCACCCAAGCAAAGTCAGTACCTTTTCAGGACAAACAATCAGATAAAAATTACCATAACCTATTCTCATAGACATGACACACCACACTCAACACAAACAAGCCCCAAATCTTTGAGAAATCTTCGGTCTGTTGTTGAACTGGGAAAGACCAGGGCACTGGGTAAAACCCAGCGGCCACACCTATGAAACAGCTAACTTAAAGAACACTTAAAAACCACTTTATATTTCTTACTGAAATGTCAGAATTTCCACACATTTAAGCTCAGATTTGTACAGATGACAACATGGCACAGAAAACCCACGGTGGAATCTCAGCCTCAAATGGAAAATATTATGACAGTCACAGTGAAAAAGACATTTAAATTTGAAGTACAATTTTTACCCTGAAACAGGTGAACCACTTGTCAAAATTCACAGTGAAATGGAGTTTGCTTGTGAAATTAAAATGTTCATGTGGAGGGAGGAGGGGGAAGAGGAGGAGGACATAAAAGCAAGGTGTTTCTGAGTTAGGAATACTTTGAGTCCTGTGGGTGAACTCTGGTAGCTGAGAAGTCTGCGTGCAGCAACAATGAGATGGTGTAACTCTAAGGTCAATATTCAAGACAGAAAGCAGACTAGGGCCTAGACAAACTTCTCTAAAGTCATAAAAAAGGTCAGTAAAAGAGACCATGAGGCACTCACGCAGCACTTTGCTCTCAAAAGAAATGGGAGTGCAGAGCAGAATATAAAGTAAGTCAAAGGGAAACAACAAGGCATCCCAGGTAACACCTTGCCATAAGCATATAAAGTGAGAAAGGCTTATGGAACAGGTTAAGAGCTACGACACACTTTGCTGAACTAAAATCCTGCCTCCCTCAAGATAAATGACAAAACACGCACTGGTTTCAGCAGTCAGGATTAACTACTCCCACATTTCCCTATTTTGGGTAGCACATTCTCCTGAAGCAACGCAGAGCAGAACCCCTTCCCATCCCTTTGCCTGTGTCCCAAGCCCTGGCGACAGCTCAACCACTACCACCACCTGCTCACACAGGAACGGGCATCGCTGCGGCCGTGTGACTTAGGCCAGCCCAATCCATGGACCAGAGACTTTGCACTGGGCTTTGGATCACATTTCCATTACTTCTGCACTATTGCCCCAGCCAGGCCATGGAAGCGAAGCCAGCCAGGATTTCTGCACTACGTGGCCATCTGACACAGCTACTTTTGGTCTGAGGGAGACCCTCTGATGGCAGTGCACTGAGTGGGGCTTATTTCTGTAAAATCTGAGCTCTTAACTCAGCCCTGAGCTCCCATAGCTGAAGCAAACACCAGTACTCGCTGACTGAAGCTTTCTGAAGTAGCACTGAGGTTAAAATGTTCTTTTGGGCTGACACACCTATCAGTAAGGTTGTAGAATCCACTGTCACAATCGTAACCCATATTAATTCACCAATCTTTTTCTTCCCTAAAACTGTAAGGTGCCTGGGTGAAGGGAACTGATCTACAGTTGCACAGTGGCTACCACAAAGTAGCCCTTTGCCTTCAATAGGACTTGCCAGAGCACAATCAGCTTTAACACATAGGTAGAAAATATGATTAAGGTGCTGGGCTGG